AAAAAAAAAAAAAAAAAAAAGCAGCGAACATGGCAACACACAGACGGACACGCATATACACACACACTCACACGTGGTATGCGGAGCTTTTACATGTAGTTTATTAAGAATCTAAGATCTGATTTATCAAGATCTAATGAATTACGATTTGACTCGTCAACATCTGATTTAAAAATAAAAATAAAAAAATCTAGCTTAATTTATTGAGATGTAATTTATTCAATAGCTGGGAACTCGTTTGTTAGGTTCTGTAGAGTTTGCAGACACCAGACTGCCCTTGTGAGAATGCACCTGGACGTGTCTACGTGCAATTTACAAGGTTTATGCCAGACTGCCCTTGTCAGAATGTACTTGGACGTGTGCATGTCCACTGTACATGGTTATGCAACTGCGAATCCATTTATTGTTAGAATGTACCTGGACGTGTGCATGTCCAATGTACATGGTCATGCCAGACTGCCCTTGTCAGAATCTACCTGGACGTGTGTACGTCCAATGTGCATGGTTAGCTGCGAGTCCATTTGTTTTCAGAATGTACCTGGACGTGTGCACGTCCAATGTACATGGTCATGCAGATGCGAATCCATGTGTTGTCAACTTGTCACGTGTGCAAGTCCAATTTACGTGGTTATGCCAGACTGTCCTTGTCAGAATGTACCTGGACGTGTTCACGTCCAATGTCCATGGTTATGCAGCTGCGAATCCTTTTATTTTCAGAATGTAGAATGATCCTGGACGTGTGCACGCCCATTGTCCATAGTTATGCAGCTGCGAATCCATGTGTTGTCAGAATGTACCTGGACGTGTGCACGGTCCAATTCCAGACTGCCCTTGTCAGAATGTACCTGGACGTGTTCACGTCCAATGTCCATGGTTATGCAGCTGCGAATCCATTTATTTTCAGAATGTAGAATGAACCTGGACGTGTGCACGCCCAATGTCCATAGTTATGCAGCTGCGAATCCATGTGTTGTCAGAATGTACCTGGACGTGTGCACGGTCCAATTCCAGACTGCCCTTGTCAGAATGTCCCTGGACGTATGCACGTCCAATGTCCATATGGTTATGCAGCTGCGAATCCATTTGTCTGGTTATTGGAGTTTGCAAAGGCCAGCCACTGGCAGCCGGACAGTGCTTGTCGTAAGAATGTGCGTGCATGAACGTGTGCGAGATCACGTCCATGTACGTACGGGCCTGCATTAGAGCAGGCACACGTGTTCTAGATCACGTCCCCCTTGAACGTGAACATGTCCAATGGAAGTGATGTGTGCGAGATCACGAACTTGGCCGTTATCACGTCCAAATACGCTCACGTCTGGCTGGTGCCGGCGGTGCGCTCGTAGGTGATCTTTCCCCTTTTCTTTTTCATTTTTTTTCCCTTTTTTTTTAAATTTGTTTTAATTCTTTTATTTTTTGGTTGAAATGCAAGTTACATTTTTTTTTTTTTTCCCCTAACTACTGCAGCATTTAATGGTGGCGGGAAAAAAAAACAAATCTCCTGGCCAACAGTTTTGAAAGATCATTTTTTTAAGGGCCAAAGCGCACTCGGTCCCGTGCACGTCCAGGTGCATTCTGACCGGGCTACCTTTTCTGCAATTCAAAACTGAGAAGTCTGTGTATGCATTTCCCCGTCAAATGAATAAAGTTAATTCCTTGCATGTTAGCATGGTCTGATCTATTTTTAGTTCTTGATTTCACAATAAGATTTTTTTAAGTTTTTTTTTTTTTTTTTTTTTTTTTTGAAGGATAGGGTTTTTGCGGTCGCTTAGTGATATTCCTGACCCCCTCCCCCCCAAAAAAACAAAGAATCAGAGAAAAAAGGGGTTTGTCAGCTTCAGCACCCCTCCTCGCCATCAAATTTTTAGCCCCTGCTGTTGGTGTGGGTCGATCCCCCCCTCCTTCTGCCCCCCTTCCCCACCCCTCCTCCCCCCAATCCTCTCTATACTAAGCTTCTTCTCCCTCTCCTCCTCATCCCTTCTCCCTCCTCCCCCCAACCCTCTCTATACTAAGCTCCTTCTCCCTCTCCTCCTCCTCATCCCTTCTCCCTGCCCACCCC